GTGCCAGTCAGTTCTGCTTCTCTCCTTAGTGTACCAGTTGGGTTGGAGACAAAATTGGATTGTTTTTTTTTCTGTTGAGGCACAGAAACATTTGATATTTTGAGCCTGTTCTCATGTAGCTCTTCTCAAACCCTTAACCTGGGAATTAGGGATTGCAGGTAATACTTTGTAGATATCCACGAGGACCAGTTACCTGCTTATCTTTGACTATTTACAGACCAAAAAAAAAAGGTGTATTCTTGCTGTAATTCATCCGTGAAACTTTTAAACCCAGTGCGTGTGAAGGAAGAAGTTTGTGAGTCTCTCTTGTTACCTCATGGGATGGTGTCGGAGGGAACCATCCTTCTGGGGGCCGAGATGAGAGCCCAAGCCATGCTGGCAGAGGAGGAGACAGCCCAGCTTGTGCTTCAGTTCTGAACACAGGGGGATTGGAAAAAAAAAAATAAAAAAAAAATCTGAGCACAAGTGCTTGGACGTTACCAGCAGAAAAAAAACAAAAAAAAAACACCACAGCGCAGCAATAAAATTAATTTCCTTCTCTAATATATACAAGACTTTCTCCAAGAGAATTATGACCCAAGCTGATCAAAGTCTGTAAGTGGTACTTATGCTATCAGTTTCACCCCCTTAATGCCCTCCTGTCAAAACAAAATCCCTTCGAAAGGCTTTGAGGAAAATCACATGAGCATAATGGCTTTCAAAAAAATGGCCCTAAGTACTCAGTAACATATACAGAGAAGACTATTAGATCGGCTGGTGTAATTGTACTTATATTCAAATGTAAACATTCTTATATGAGCAAGTTACTGCTTACCCACAGAGCGGTGCACAGGCGGACCGGGCTGAGAATGCTTGGGTTATCAAGAGAAAGGAGGGGAGGGGTTGGCAGCAGTGGGAACTTTGCCCTAAGACAGGATGGTGACTTTAGGCAGAATTAGATAAAAGGAGAAAGGAAGGGGTGGGGGAAGGATGGGGCTTATTAAAGAACCATTTTCAGATATACAGAGAGAGAGAGGATGAAATTCAGGCAGAGTATGACTGTGCTGCCATGTGGCTCTCAGGTAGGAGTTGGAGACATCGAACTATCTGATCCTTTATCTGCTGTAATGTGTTTGTTTGAACGTGTTCTCGGTGGATTTAGTGCCTCTCTGACAGCTCTGGGAACCGGAGTCCTCTGTGTATTCCCAGAATAGATGCGCCAGGCAACGCCGTGTCCGGACCCAGGGGTGATGGGGAGGTTCCATCTGCTCAGACCAAGCCTTGACCATTCCAGGCTGGTGAGCACAATAAAGATGATATCTCAAATGCCCAGTTTTCAGAACCATCAACACTGGGAGACGGTGCAGGCACAACTCAGGTTAAGAGTCACTTTCCATCTTTTGAGGATTTGTTGATACAGCTGTAGGGAAGCAGGTATTTTGGTCCTCAGCACCTTCACAGGGGTACCCCATCACCCTCTGGAGTGATGACAGTCACAGTGGTTGCTCCATGTGCAGCTCCTACTGCCACAGTCTTCCACAGGGACCTCCTGGTTTGGTGCTGAGTGCTCCTGAGCTCTGCCCTTTCTCCATCACTATCTGGGAACGTATCAGCTATTCAGGTCTCCTTGGCTCTGAGCAGCAATGTCCCAAGGGTGTTCAGTAGCTGGGAAAGGATGAACAGCATCAATGGGCTCAGAATCTGAATGGGGTGGTGTTTGGAGAGATACTGATGTCATGGCAGCAAAGCTGAGCATCATTCATGGTTTGGATGCTTCTGAGTGGAAAAGCTGCTTCTGAGGGTACATGCCATTTCTGTTTCATCCTGCGCAAACCAAAAGTGGGCACAGTGTCCCGTGCAGAGTCCAGCACTCATTTCTTCAGTCCTGGCTTTCTCCTCTTCCTCCTCCCTTTTGCGTTGCTCCCCTCTCTCAGGATGAGACCAGAAGGTCCTTCCTTAGAGCCTCCTTTCTCTTTCCCATGGGTTTCCACCCTTTCTTTGTGCCCTCCAGACCATACAACCTCTTTGCCACATGACTTTTCTCCCTGGGGACACCAGCTCAGTCTATCAAAAAGCAGAATAAGGCCAAGTAGGCAAAGGGTTTATTTTGGCAAAGGCTTGAAATGTCTCAAAGACTTTATAAAAAAAAAATAATCCAAAACAACCCAACAAAATAATGCCAATAAACCCATACGGTTTCTATTACTTTTTTTTTTTTTTTCCTGGTGGGTTGAAAACAAATCTTCCCTGACCATCCTTCTCCTGTGCTGGGGCAGAGACCAAGTCTGCTGGAGTCAATGAAAAGACATTCATAGATCAGGCTCGTCCAGATTCCTAACATCTCATAGAGGTATTTCCCTATCTGTCCCTCTTTCCTGGACTTACTGTCTTGCTCTCCCTTTGGAGGAAATTCCTTTCCTGGTGATAACCGTGTCTCTAGCTCATATTTCCTCTTTCTTGTTGACAGTTTTAAACCAATAGATTTATGAACTTTGAAGTAATAGAAATATTTAAGACATACCTACCCTTTCCCTTATCTAGAACAGGCCTAGGATTATTCTTTTTCTAGACACTGCACTTGTAAAGGGAGGCACTTGCCTTTCAACCCACCTTTTGGAAAGCCAACTCTAGTTTGCTTAATGAGGACTTTGGTAACCTTGGATTATTCACCAAGTGCTATTACCAGTTTCATCCCAGTGGGTCCTACAGGTGTTTTCCCACCCCTTACCCTGGCTGGGACCAAAGAGGCGAACTTATATTTGGGGTGGCCACAGCAAACTGCTGCTGCCCATCACCTCTGGTGGGTACATGAGATGGAAGTGAGGGAGAGCAGTCAATGGAGCAGTTCGCTTTATTTTCCATCAAGGCTGGTTAGGACATCAGTCTGAGGTAGCAGGTCCATGCCCTGCTCCCCTCTTGCAATCCCTGGCCCGAATTCCCTGGTGGCATGTGAAAATGTCACACTAATGCTCAAACCTCAGCTCCCTTTTTGAGTTTCATCCTTCAAAATATGCATCACCTCACTCAGAAAACGATGTGGACTGGGTGGCAGGGTCAGAAGTAGCTACAGTAGTGACAAGGGACATAGAGCTGCTCTCACATCTTGACTAAAGCAGGCAAGAAGGGGTGTTACAGCCTGTAGCCCATCCCCAGAGTGTCTGTCCTGGGGGGGGGGATGGCTCTTATCCCCCTGGCTCTTGGGGGGTGGGCTGAGCATGCTGGAGTATCGCTCTTCTTTTGGGACCAAGAGCCCACTGAGTATAAATTCCTCCTTCAAGGACTTTGCAGATAGGGACAGACTTCCCTCACCTTTGTGCTTTCTCTCTCCACTGGGTCCCTAATTAATGAAAAAGGGTGGAGGGAGGAGACCCATCCAATAGAAAGTGTTTTTTTCTGTCATATTGGAGGTTTCTGGACAGGACAGGGCTACACCCAAGGCGTGTTGACCCACGTGCTGGTTTAATGCAGCAAATCCCACCAGAGATTGGAGTTAGAGGTAATTACAGAGGCAACAGCAATTTCCCACATTAAGGTGAGCGCTGTGGTGTGTGAAATTACTTGGGACTAATGACTGACACCTCCTGGTACTCCCAAGGGGTGGAGAAGGAATGCTGCAGGTGAGACAACTTTGGTGGTAATTAAGATTTTGCATAGCTGTAACCTCCAATGAGCATAATTTGGCAAACTCCTGTGGCAAAAGAATCTCCGGGTATGGCTGCGCTTAAGGAAGGTCCAATTTCCCACATTAAGGTGAGCGCTGTGGTGTGTGAAATTACTTGGGACTAATGACTGACACCTCCTGGTACTCCCAAGGGGTGGAGAAGGAATGCTGCAGGTGAGACAACTTTGGTGGTAATTAAGATTTTGCATAGCTGTAACCTCCAATGAGCATAATTTGGCAAACTCCTGTGGCAAAAGAATCTCTGGGTATGGCTGCGCTTAAGGAAGGTCCACAGAGTCATAGAATGGTTTGGGTTGAAAGGACCCTAAAGATCATCCAGTTTCCTGGGCAGGGACACCTCCCACTAGACCAGGTTTCCTCAAAGCCCCTTCTAGCTAAGGTTGTACCTTAGTTCCCAAAGTTCAGGACCCCCAAAACAATGCTGCAAAGATGGCTGTGGATAAAGAAATATCATCCCTGAGATGTGCTGGTGTCAGGTGTGAGGGGGTTTTTCATGCTGCGTGCCAAATAGATGCTGGGCAGCTTCTCCAGTATGATCCAGAGACCGTACATCCTGCTCCTTGGCAGCAGTATCGAAGGGAGGATTTTCCAGTTCAGGACCCCCAAAACAATGCTGCAAAGATGGCTGTGGATAAAGAAATATCATCCCTGAGATGTGCTGGTGTCAGGTGTGAGGGGGTTTTTCATGCTGCGTGCCAAATAGATGCTGGGCAGCTTCTCCAGTATGATCCAGAGACCGTACATCCTGCTCCTTGGCAGCAGTATTGAAGGGAGGATTTTCTGGTGGGATGGAAGGTTGCGTGAAGGCACTGGAGGACCTTTGGGTCCTGATTGTGAGAGAAGAGAGCCAGACTGACCCCAAAACAGCACCTTTCCCAGGTGAAGGAGGGTCAAAAGAGTTATCCTGAAGCATCTGGGACAGCTTTGAGTATCGGGAGGTGGCTGCAGGTTGTCTGCTGAGGATCCACTCTTGGGATAAGAGGTCTTTAATCCACTGCATGCCCAGCCTGCTTGTGTTCCTATCGGAAGATGGCTCAGTACTCGAAACAGAGCAAATTGGCTGGGTCTGTGCCCAAACGGACACAGATCTGCACAAACAGTATTTACCACCATGGTGAGTGGTGGATTTTGGGGTATTTTTTTTTTTTGTCCAAGTGTTTCTCCCCCTTCTGTATGGCTGGTGTCTCCGAGATGCAGCACTTGAGCAAGAGGCGGGACGTGGAAATCACACACTGGCGTTTCCCCAGCTTTATCAGCTGCGGGCTTACAAAAATAAATCATTTTCCAAGGCTATAAATCCAGAACCTTTCACCAGCTCTTACAGTAACTCACATGTGCAGAACAACAGCGGGCTGTTTATCCAAACAAGCGAAAGCATCTGTAGCGGAGTTAATGATTTTGCAGCACCCCCGGTTACCCACCGGCTGCGGGGCTGGGAGCTGAGCTGGGGCTGGAGAGGAAAGCAGAGGCTTCAGGGTAAGACAAACTACATTTCCTCTTCCAAACACGAAGCTGAGATGTTTTTGAAGGCTGGTTTGTTTTGTTTTTTTTTTTTACAATGCCAACTTTTTTTCTTCCTGCTTTCCTCCATGCTGTTTCTAAGCTGTGATTTCTCCAGATCCCCTTTCAGGGCCGTAGAAATTGGTACTGTAAGGGTTAACCCGCTGTGCTGGGATGTTCCTTTCTCCTCTTGATCCCCAGGTCTCAGCTCTGTTAAACATCTCCCCCTCTCTTTTACATTCAGCTCCTCTTTTACAAGGCTGGGCTCGGGAATTTCAGCCCAGCCAAGACCCATCTTCCCATCCATTAAGGCTTTGTGACAGCAGGTAACAATATCACTTCAAAAGGACAAACTTGCACCATTTCCCCCCCCAGCCCCCCCAGATTAAACTCTCTGACAACAGCATCTCAGCATAACATAGGAAGAAGCAGCTGCCCCGTTTCTTTGCAAGATTTATCTGCACCCACACCCGAATGGGCCCGTTTTGGGGGAAAAAGGCAGAGCTGAGCCTGGTGGCCACCGATGCTTTTTGGGGACTGCAAGACCTGTTTGCTCAGGGCCCTTTGCGGTCGTGTTTTTGCCACCTCAACCCCCCAAGAGGAGCTGAAGATACTCTGTTTTATCAGCCTGCTGCTGACCTCTTACCCTGCATTGGGCCAGCAAAGGCTGGATCATGTCTTGGCTAATCACTGTGGCTGCAGAACCCTCCAGGTCTGCATCTACCATGGGATGTGGTGAGCTCACTTTCTCAGCTTGCCTTGCTTTTTCTTTTTTTTTTTCCTCCCCAATTTGTTTTTATTTATTTTATTTAATTTTTCCCTCTCTGCTGACTCAATCTCATGTTTCTCACGTCTTCATTTCCACGCCGGCTGCCGCCTCTCACCCATCCTGTGCATCTTTCCTATCATCATCCCCTCTTCTCCTGGGGTGCAGGTTGCTCTCCCAGAGCTGGCCGTGCTCGTGTGTGGTCCCCCCACCTGGGAGGAAAAGGTCCCAGTGGTGTAATTTTGTCTCTCCTGCCCGGGCACTATTTAGTGATAACAATAACAGTGGCAGGAAGGTCTCCTGCGAGGGGAGATCAAACGGGAGGTGGAATGTCGGGTTGGAAGGTGCTGGGAGGGAAGCCCAGGAGGTGCCAGCGTGGGCAGGGAAGGAGGTGTTTTCTTCCTTTCTGTCCAAACATCTCTTCTTTCTGCAAGAAATGCGCAGAGAAATGAATAACCCTGGTACCTTTTTATTTTTTTGAAAGGCAGTTTAAAAAAAAAGTCGGAAAACCTGAAGGCATGCACACACAGAAGCTGCTAGGCTCCACCTACAATTTCTTTTCAATATTTATTTCTCCCAGCAATATTAATGGAAAACACCTACTGTCTTCTCAAGAGTCCTCACTCAATCCCATTTAACTACAGAGTTCACTTCAGCTGCTGCAGAACGTCCCCCAGAAACCCCTCACCGGAGTTTGGAGCTTCTTATAACTCCCACTACTTTTGCTCTGGCTTTCGAGTCGCTGAACCTCCCCATCTCCAGTGAAATAGAGTCTATGGGGTGGTTATCGGGGGAGCTGCCACTCTCCTGTGCCTCCCCAGAAATCTTCAGCAGGCTCGGATGGGATGAGAATAATATCTCCTCTAATTTGCTAGTGACGAGTTACAGCGGGATTGAGCTCGCAGAGTAGCAGGTCACTGCGTGGTGCATTAATGCACGTGGCTGTACAAACACTGCAGCTCAGACCTGGGCTGTGCCAGGGCTTTTATGGCAATTAAGGGGTTGAGGTTTATGGTTTGTCTGTCCTTTGGCTTGGGAATCGGCAGAAAACCAGCCTCAAATGTCCAGAGCCCTTCTCAAACCTTGCTCTGAAGGGCAGGAAAGTCTAAGGCTAAGGGGTGGAGAGGCACCTGTGGTCCTGTTGCCATCCCATCTCCCTGCTGTGTCCCTGCTGGGCATCGTGGACACCTTGTGCTGTGTGTGTTGGAGGGCTCTTGGCTCTGGGGAGACCTTGTGGCTTCTGGCCTGCAGCTCTTGGTGTTGCTGAAGTCCCCACATCCTAAAGGCCACCCGCTGCTGGGCACCACTGCTACTGAAATAGCTCCTGTGCCTTCAAAGGCAGGGAGTTCTTCTGGCAGGATGGCTCTTAGTATGTAAATATTTATTGTTTTTTAATAGGCGAAATAGATTTGGACCTATTCAAGACCTCAGGGTCTGGCCTGCAGCTCTTGGTGTTGCTGAAGTGCCCACATCCTAAAGGCCACCTGCTGCTGGGCACTGCTGCTACTGAAATAGCTCCTGTGCCTTCAAAGGCAGGGAGTTCTTCTGGCAGGATGGCTCTTAGTATGTAAATATTTATTGTTTTTTAATAGGCGAAATAGATTTGGACCTATTCAAGACCTCAGGGAACTCTGAGGTTCTCAGTCTTCCCGCTCTTTCTGACATCTTTTTTTCTGTGGTTTTAAGGGGCTTTATCTAAAGGAGACCGCTCTCATTCCAATTTATGGGATCAGCATTTAAATCACAGCTTGACTGATAATTCAATTGATTGATTCAGTTTAGGGCTTATTTGGAAATGTCTCTTTCAGGACTTTCCTCAAACCTGTGATTTCCGGAAGCGGAGTCCCTTCTACTCCTGCAGCGCTTTCTGGTTCCTGAAACCAGATGGTTCTGATGGTTCTGCACAGGACACCCCAAAACACAGGACCCCCCTCCAGTGCTGGGGCGAGGGCTGGCACGGCCAGGGGTTCCCCTGGGCTCCCATCAGCACCCAGGCTGTGTGGGGTGCTGGCATCTTTTGGAAGGAGGTAAGTTGAGCTGCTTTCCCCACACCAAATCCCTCCCCCAGCACCTCTCGGACCTTTTACACCCCCATGATCTCCAAACACGTTACATGGAGAGTCAGGATTAACATCATCCTCCTGCTCTGTATTTTCAGGTGGGGAAAGTGAGTCATTTGCAAACTAAGTGAGCATCCTTAATTGCATCCAGCGCAGCTGACCTCGGTGGGCAATGCAGAGGTGCAGACAAAGATAGAATTTAGCCATTAAAATGAAGTAAAGGCTGTAGTACTCTCCTAAAGCCTCTGATTTCTTTTTTTTTTCCTAACATCCAGCTTTTAGGATGCTGGAGAAGACAGAGATCCGCCCTCAAACACCGATGTGCATGAAATGACTTATTTCCAATGAGTTCTTTGTGGTGTCTGCCTCTTTTGCAATTAACCCTTCCAAAACTTGAATGCCAAGTTAAAAAAAATAAGGAGAAATCAGAGCTTGGATCCTAGAGCTGACCCTATTTGTGCACACCTTGCTGGCTGGGGGGCTGCTGCCATCCTTCTCCAGGCTGCCCTCACTGCAGCCGGGAGGGAGCAGCCCTGTCCACCCTCCGTCCGTCCATCCGTCCGTCCGCCCCCCGTCTGTCCGGGGGCTGACAGAGATGGATGGCAGCGCTGCCGGGAACGTGCCGTCGGGCTCAGGCTTTCCTCCCAGGAGAAAGCTGTGGGCCTGGAGGGAGCCCTGTGATGAAGATGTAAGAGCGGTGTTTGACACGCCAGCTCCTTTGTCGGGGCAATCCCGGCTCGCGTCGGGCACTTGCCATCCAGGAGCACGACAGTCCCCTGTCTAAGAGGGTCGCCGTGCTTTGTGGCCACTTTTCTGGCTGCAAGAAATGGCTGAGGCATCATGGATAGAAAATCCACTCAGAGAAAAGCTGTGAGAACCACTTTCTTGGGGGGAACGTGGGGTAAAAAGGTGATGAAAACAGCCAGCAAGCATTGCAGGGGGGGAAAGATGGGGGGGAAAAATGCTTGCTCCCTCTGCAAAAGGGGGGAAGGATGAGCCCTGAGCAGACAAACCCCTCCTGGGCAGAACCCCATCCGCCCGCGCCCGGCGCCGCCCCCGAAGGAGTTAATTCCCCCCGCCAGTGCACTAAGTGGTCAGCAGCCCAATAAATTATGCCCTCGAAAGACAAACCACAATCATCATTAGTCACGGCTCATTGGCCTGTTAAGGCTCCTCAGTGAAGTTTATCTCTTCCCTCCTGTCCACCGGCAGCCATATTTCATGCTCCGAAAACAGATGACCCCGGGGGTCAGCGAAATGAAAGCCCCATTCAACAGGTCCGCGAAGGACTCGCCACGGAAAAAAACGGCCGGGGTCAAAATAACATTGAGATACAGCCAGACCTTCAGCCGCTGCCCTCCCGGAGCAGACACACACCACACGCTCAAGTGACCAAGACATGTTAATCCGTTTCAGGATCAGGCAGGGTCAGGCTGGGGCTGGGAGGAACAGTGGCATAATTAGGTGAGGGTGACCTCCATAAAACAGTAATGGGCTTCCAGAGGCACGCTGAGCCCAGCGCGGCCCGTCGTGCTTTGCACCCGCTTTCCCCGCTCTTTGGGAGATGGGAATGGCCAAGGGGGATGGAGGGAGTCCCAGGATATTGTCCTTGTCTCCACCAACAGCTGGCTTCATGGGTAGGGAGGGAGGCAAGGACGTGGGGACCGTGCACCCGGCGTGGTGAGCATCACAGCCCAGGGTTTCACCACTCGGTGTGATTTTTAAAAGAAAAGGGGGGGGGGGGGGGGGGGGGGGTGTTGTTTCTTCATCTCTATTTAAAAAAAGACAAACCAAACCAAAACAAAAGATTTGGAGCATATGTAGTTTTAAGCTGTTTAAGCTGAAATAGGTGGTGTTGAAAGCCCCTGCCTGCGCATAGCGCTGCTTAGGCAGCAGCAGAAGAGAAGAAAAAGGGTGTGCTGAGTAATAAGGGTGCTTTGAAGGACGTTTTCATAGGATTTATGAATACTTATAAATCCTATAAGCCTATAAATACTTAAAGGTTGTGTGTTAGGGGGAAGGGGCCAGTCTTTTTTCAGTGGTGCCCAGGGATAGGACAAGAGGTAACGGGCACAAACTTGAATGTAAGAAGTTCCATCAAAACATGAGGAAGAACTTCTTTACTTTGAGGGTGGCAGAGCCCTGGAAGAGGCTGCCCAGGGAGGTGGTGGAGTCTCCGTCTCTGGAGACAACGTTCCTGTGCAACCTGCTCTGGGTGCGACCTGCTCTGGCAGGGGGTTGGACTAGATGATCTCCAGAGATCACTTCCAACCCCATTCTGTGATTTGATTTTCCCAATACCCTGTAAGATCATGTGTACAGGTATGGGAATCTACCTGGGAAGAGCTGGACAATGTGGGAGGAGATGAACCGCTGCATCCTGGAGGGATGAAGGAGAGAGGAGCTCCAGGCCTGCCACAGCTTCAGCTTCCTGGGTGAGACTGTCACAGAATTCTCTACTGAAGGTCACAAGGTGGCACGGATCAATATAATTTCATGTTTTCTAAACAATGTGAAGTCATACGGCCAATTGAAAACTCCAAAGGTGCTCCTGAAATAAAATTTGATACCATGAAGTTGAAATCCCCGTGTCCTGAGAGAATGTGTAGTCTTCGCCGGTGCAGCCGGGAAAGATTTTTATTCTAAGAGAAGTGTTTCTATGTGCTGGAGAGACACAATAAGAAAGACGGTGAGGAAAATACCTTGCCTTTTTATGTTTTGTGTATACCATTTTTGAACCAGAGGGCCAGTCAATATTATGTCTATGTATTAAAGGTGAAGTTGTAAACATGTCAGAAATTTAAATGAACTCATTCAGATTCCAAGGATTTGACTGAGAAAGAAGAAGTTTCAGAGACCGAGTCAAACTCCTGTTCTACCAGCTCTTCAGTGGGTACCGCAGCATCATTTTTAGGAAGCCAGAGCTGTGTTAACATCTGAGGGCATTTTGGTTTTTTACTGATTGATTGCTTGATTTATAGGAACTGAAGATTTTCCTGCAGCAGCAGGAGATGCAGGAATATGTTCCCCACACCGGTGCCTGCTGGGCTGGTTGCTTCTTTATCCCACTTCACATACACCCTGTGCTTCTCCAGGTGATAGCAGATATTTAGACCCTGGAAGACACCTTGTACCCAGTAATTTCTTTTTCCTGGTGCTGGAGGTCAAATTTGGGGCTGAACCTGCTTTGACATCTGTGTCTCTATAAATGAAGGGGTTTAAAACCAGCTCCACTCATGACTCCTAGCACTGTAAATCAGGAGGTGCTAGCTCAGGGCTTTTCCAGGGAGGGAGGCAGGAGAGGAGTCAGTAACGGGGGTAATTCTAGCTAGCGCTCTGCTGAGATAATTTCTTTTCAAAACAGCTTGTGGGGATCACATTTTCAAATGGCTATTTGTCTCCCTGTTTATTGCAGCGTGCGTCATGCCATGTTTTAATACAAAGCAATAGAGATGATGTGATTTGGGACATTCAATCTCCCAAGCCCCCCCTCTCCCTCCCTCCCTAATTACAGCTGTGCCTGGGCACAGCTAATGACCAGAGCATGCTGCAGGCAGGTGCAGTGCATCCCAGCCCTGGATCTCTGCCACCTCTGTGGGAGAGCTCAGATGGGGTGAAGGGGTCTTATAAAAGGAGGAGATGATGAGCAGGGCTGTGTTTTCTCCCTGCTGGTGCTTGGTTTGGGTTTGTTGCTGGAGAAGGATGGGGCATCTCCCTGCTCTCAGCAGTGTTTGGTTGGCGCAGGAGACCTGCAGGATTTGGGTAACCCAATGCAGGAACCTGGGCTGGCTCTGGTGGGGATGGAGGGGAAGGAGAGGTGTCCTTCTTCTCCCCAAGGCTGGGTCTAGCTTTTAGGGATGCAGAATGGGGTCCCCACTGCTGCCCAGGGAGGGGGTGTCTGGCTGGGATGCTCTGGCTGTGGGATTTCAGGATGTAAGGGAGGTGTTAGAGAGCTGAGCAAGGAGTGCTTGTAGCGGAGCCGTGAAATGGAGTCTATCTCTCCCCCCATTATCTATCCAGGGTCCCCCAGCCCTTAACTTTTCTGCTGTATAACTTAAATGGCTAAATTGAGCAGTGTCATCCCCCTTCCCTTGCGTTGATCTGCCAGGAAAACTTCAAACAAACAAAAAAAATCTGTTCTATATAAAAAGTGTGGGGGTTTCCACAGGATTTTTTTTTTCCCCTTCAGTTGGGTGTGGAAGTCTTTGCTGCAGACACTGCTTTTGGGAGAGTTTTCTGTGAAGCCCACATCCCACCTGGAGCTACAGCCTCCTTTCCCACCTGGGGAACCCCATGTATGAACCTTTTTGTACCCTCTCAGCTGATGGGGTGGCACCAAGGAGCTGGGATGTTGTGCCAGAGCAGGTCTGACCCTCCCCACCTGTGGGAGGTCAGAGGAGTTGTTTGTGGCAGCCCAGGGAATTGAGCTGTGATATCCCACACCCGGACTGAGCACGCCAGCCACCAGCCTGTGCTTCCTCCCTGCTGGTCACCAGCTATTTCTGATGACACCATACAGCCAGGACAAGGTGCGAACTGACGGGGTATCGATTCGTTTCTGGACAAGAGAGATGAAAATGGATAGTGAGGTAAGAGCAGGAAAGACGTGGCGCTGGCAGCAGGTAAGGCTTTGTGATTCCAATCCATTTATTTACAAGCTGGTCGAAAGCAGACACAGAGGTAGGGCTGAGAACTCTGGACAGTATACGATACATATGGCTTTTTATTCCCCAATATATAATGAAGCCATTAGCAAAGCTGAAATAATGAGCCTCTCATGGTGGTGTTTCCCTTGCTGCAGACAAGCCAGGGATGAGCACGGCCAGGCTCTTCCCTCCAGCTGCCCGTGGGGAACTGAGCCTGCTCTGCCTATCAGATGTGCCTCCCTCCCTTTAGTCACCTGGGCTTTGGCAAGAGCAAAGTCTATCCCATTTTTTCTGCCTTTCCTCTGAGTCATCTTGCCCTTGCCAGAGTCTCTATTGAATTAAAGCCCATTGGATCAGCTCCTTTGAAATGCCTAAATCAGCCAGGAAAAGTGACAGCGCACGAGTCCTGGCGGTGGGACCAGGCAGAGGAGGGAAGAGCTGCAGAAGAAACGGCGGAGCAGGACAACAGGCACGGTGCTGGGGGAAAATGTACAGCCTCAGGCTTGGGCTCTGGGCCCCCTCTTTATTACATTTTACACCGAGCAAGCTAGATTGAGTTACCTTTGTGTTTTCATCTG